AATTTTAGTTTGTTGTAAGCCGCCCAGTCCCCCGTTGTGGGGAGATGGGCGGGGACAAGTCAAATAAATAATAATAATAATAGTAATAATAACAACAACAACAAATATATATTAGGGAAATAAGGCTTCTCTGACGTGACATAGCATAGTTCAGAGGTAGACCACCTCCCACCATCCTTTGCATGCAGAAACTCTTGAGTTCAACCCCAACATCTCCAGTTTAAAAGGACTAGCATCTGGTCCAATTTGTTGGAAGGCAGCTATTCATGTTTCATTCTGGCTAAAATAGCCATCTTCAGACTTGTGCTGGCATGTTATATTAGAGCATAACTCCTATTACCACCAACCTGTTTGGGGATAATGGAGGTTTACACTCCAAAAGAGCCTCAACAGGTGACAGCACATATCCAACCTTGCATGATCTCGAAAAACCTACGCTGGGTCTGCTTAGTACTTCTACAGGAGAGGACTAGGAAATCTCAGGGCTGTAGGCCAGGCTTTGAAGTTGAAAGAACATCCTGGAAGAAGGTCATGCTCTATTGTTGCCAAGAAAGCTACATGAATATGTCCATGAGGTCACTTAAGAGTCAACCCTAGCTTGAGAATGCATTTACTTTTAATACACGGATACAACCAGGTTGGGGAAAGATGTTTTAAAAGTTAAGACTGAAGCATAGCTCTGATTTTCATTTGAGTGGAGAGGAAGAGAAATGGCTTGAGAAGGTCTCACATACCAAAGCAAGCTGAATCGCTGCACTCTGAATTCTATTGAATGACATCTCAGGTAACGGTTGGTATCAAGAAACAGCAAGGGGAAACACAGGTATCTTAAACCCATAAATGATTGATGGATGGAGAAGAAAAAAAGAGGACTCAAATTAAGCCAGTGGTCATAAATATTTCAGCTTAAAAAAATTTGAACACCTGCTAAACCTCAGTTGGCCCACTCTACCAAATAGGGAACACTGATGTATAATACTGTATGCTAAATGCCCTAAATAAAATAGGAATTGGACTGACAGCTAGGATTGCAGGAATGAGCGACAGCCATGATACATTTGGAACGGTGGATCCTTAGTGGAGCGTGGTATGTAAAGACTGGACATTAATAGCTTTCTCAGTGACTTTTCTTCTGTCTCTATCCCCAGGAGAGAGAACAGGCCATAGAAGAATTCTCTCCCAGCAAATACCCTTTAAAAACATTTTCCTAGATGTTCAATATCTGGAAAAGTTGACATGAAGGGCAGATTTTAGGCATAACTGATAAGAATCTGAACACCTACAAATTATCAACTGCGATCAACCAAATAAATGGTACGTCACCTGAGATGGAACGGAAAATCCAGGCCAACAAGGAAAATAACCTCACAGCTTTTGTTAAAAAAGAAAGAGGATAATTGAAAGCAGGTATCTGGTCATGTACCTCCTTCCTTTGGTATCCCTATTTACCAGTCAGTTCCAAAAATGGCCCAAAGTTATTTTTTTTAAGGAGCTGTCTTGATTCCATGGATTTCGCAAGCTTTGCTCTTATCCAGGTTAGACTACTGAAGTAATAGACTATGTTCCATATGAAATGGCTTGTGAAATGTCTAGAAGTCTAACCTATGAATGGACTTCAGTCTCTAGACCAGCGTTTCTCAACCTTGGCAGCTTTCAGATGGGCGGACTTCAACTCCCAGAATTCCCCAGCCAGCTGGGGGAATTCTGGGAGTTGAAGTCCACCCATCTGAAAGCTGCCAAGGTTGAGAAATGCTGGTCTAGAATGCATGACCTCTGCATGCAGGCACTTTTCAGTAATGGCACTCACACCATAGAATGATTTGTTTTTTAAAAAAAGTTTTGCTTATTTTCAGAAATGTGAAAGGGTTGGAAGGGAAAAGTTCACCAGACAGTTTATCTGTCACCCAGGGCAGATAAAAATAAATGTTCTAAAATTAAAGAAAAACTGTAGAAGCTAAACATATTTTGTTAAAAAGGAATATAATTTGTAATTAGAGTTTATTCTCTTTGCTAATATGGAGGAGAGAGAAAAGTT